GTGTATGTAAACAAATATTTGCTAAAATTTCTTTTTATATGAAGTCTATTCAAGCATGCATGATTTTATAGGTGATCAGTCAAACTGAAATTAATTAAGTAATAATTTTTTTTTTAACTGGCAAAACTTGTAAATTTATACTAGAGAGAACAAGTTGTATACAATTTTGCCTTACCTGGAATGGGTAGACTATATGATTCAGTTAGACCAAGATGAGAATTAACTACTTTTCACTAAGGCAATTAATTCCTTGAGGGAAAGTTCCATGAAGTCCCCTGATTTGAATTCATTGTGTTTACCTAAACACCAACTTCACTAAGCAGTTTTGTTCCCTAGTGCCTGGGTAACACTGGCTTTATTTTAGGTATCATTGACTTAATGGGGAGTTTAAATGTCCCTGGGTTGATGCTTCCTGTTTAGGCTTGTATGAAAGTGACTCAGCCCTTTCCTTACACAAAAATCTTACAGACGAAGTCACCAGCTTGATTCTAAAAAAAAAGATACTCAGTCTCAGAATGAACTAAGATTTGTTTCCAAATACTAAGATCAACTCTGGTGAGTGAAACTTTTCCAAATGTTATGGAATGTATCCAACATTTATAGACCACCTGCTTAGTGTCAGTGACTATGTGAGTCATCAAAGTTATAACTCTAAATGAGATATACAATTTCCCACCCCATATTAAGGATAGTTTAAATAGGTTGGGATATCTATGCAAATTAGTATAATATAGTTAGTATAAGTTATAAGAAACCTCAACGAATGCAATCCAAGTAATCTAAGTAATTCAGTTTTGTTAGATATTGGATTTGGCATGAGGTTGGAGAAGTTACAATGACAGATAATACTGAAAGTCAGTCAGAAAATGTTGTGGAAGATATTGTTTGCCATTCTAAGCATTTTGGGACATTATTTCATAATAAATAATGTCAATTTTTAAAGGATTAAAAGCTAAATTAAAAGATGTGATTTGTATCATCAATCATTCTGCACTAGCATACAAATTGGATTGGAGTTCCATAGAAGCGAAGAGTAAAATGTCACCAACAAAGATGAAGATTTGAACTAATCTGTAAGTATGACAACAGGAGGTAATTGCAAGTGGTAATGAGCAGATAAAATTTTGATGTTTGATTGGATGTGCAGATTAAAGCAAAGTTGTGCCATTCTTTGAAATAGGTAATAGTGACAAGGAGGTAGCTGGAAGAGATGATTCCTGATGAAAGAGTTAGATGGAGGTAACTGTGGGCCAATCATGAAGTTGGATGTGAAAACCTGAAACCAAAAAGGCCTGTATCAGTGCTGAAAATGGTCCCAGTTCAGTAAAAGTGTGCAAATTGTGTAGAAAAGTAGTTAATCTGGCTTCTCCAAATGGCACTTACAAATATTTTTGAGTATACAAAGGGACAAAAATGAGGTCTCAGGGCAAATTTTGGATACCGCAAAATTTAAATACATGCTCAGAAGATAACCCAGATGAAGAAACAAACAAACAAACAAAAAATTTACAGAGAAAGGAGAAAAGCAGCAGCAAGTGGCATCACAGAGTCAATGGAAAAGAGATATTTTAGAAGAAAAAACTACAATAGTATCATATATTCAAGAAAAAAAAATTAAAATAATAAAGTAGCAAGAGCAAATTGAATTTACCATTGGGACAATCATTTGTGAATTTGTTAGAGCTGTTTGTGAGGACTCACGGCACAAGCATGAACACATGGTTTAAAAATTGAATCAAATGTGAGAAGGCACACACAGAATGATGAGTATTCTATTCAACAGCACAACTACAGAGAGAGGAAAGATTGTAAGAAAGTCCTAAGTGTGGGGACTTTTTTTTGTTTGTTTTTCTTTAAAATGGATGAGAGTTAAGATTTACCTCTATCTATCTATCTATCTATCTATCTATCTATCTATCTCTATCAACAGAACATAGTGAAACAATATAATTTGTTAATTAAAAGTAATCTCAGTAAATAAACATTATTAGACATGGAGTTTGACATGAGATTTTATAAATATACCCACATTTGTACATATGGGAGAGAGAGAGAGAGAGAAAGAGAGAGGCTGTGCATACTATGGTAAAGGGGCCATTTGAGAGAGAACAAAGCTAAGCATGGGAGTAGTCACTGGAAAGGAGAAATAAGCTCTCTATTTGCCTTTGGAACCCCAGAGTGGGAGGAATTAAAGCACTGTAAAGATTATTTTAGGCTGGGCGCAGTGGCTCAGCCTGTAATCCCAGCACTTTGGGAGGCTGAGGCGAGAAGATTGCCTGAGCCTGTGGGTTCGAGACCAGCCCGGGCAACTTGGTGAGACCTCGCCTCTACAGTAAATCACAAAAACTAACTTGACATGGTGGCATGCGCCTGTAGTTCCAGCTACTTGGAAGGCTGAGGTGGAAGGATCACCTAAGTCCAGCAGGTGGAGGCTGTGGTGGTCGTGAGCGTGCCGCTGCACTCCAGCCTAGGTGACAAGAGTGAGACTCCATCGCAAAAGAAAAGAAAAGAAAAGAAAAGATCATTTTATTTATGTGCAGGTAGGAAATTGAGGGACTTAACGTCTAATTACCTATGTTTTCTCATTGAAGTGATTGGTAATGCCGTCTACTGGAAATAGGAGAAAGCAATAAAGAGGAGATTTAGTATGCTAAATTTCCAGGGCAACTTCTGCAATGAATTAGAAGAATTGACTTACTGAAAGTAGAACTACTTTCAAAAGATGAAGAATGTTAACATCTGAGAGTTCAAAAACAGGTAGACACTGTTAATAAATGATTCATAGGAGAAAATACAATTTGTATATAAGTGGTTAGTAAAGAGAGAAAAAATATTTTGGGGAAACAAATAACATAGAAGGAAACCACTTTACTATCCAACAAATAAATATTTAGCTTTATTATAAAATATTTAATGTAGGAATGACTTGAAAGGAGATAAAGCAAGCTTTGTGTACTCTCAGTATCTTCCTTAATCTTGCATATCTCTATATCTTGTAGTGCCCCTCTTCCTTATTTATGAAGTGTTGCATTAATCAATACAATTTGCAAATAGTAAAGTTACAGTAATAAAATTAATAAAATTATTAATAAGATATGAAAATTATTCTTTATGTCTTAAAAGAAGATAAAAATTAAAATATATTAATAGGAGTTGATGAGAACAAAATATGTTGTGTGTGTGCATGTGCGTGCATGTGTGTTAAAGTTTTTTCTTGTGAATTTCCCTCCTTCCTCCTAAGAAGAAATCTTAATGTAAAGGTAAAAGATAAAGATTTTTCTTAGATCACACTAATAATATGTATTAAAAGTAGAAAATAGCAAATGATGCTTTTGATTTTTAAGCCATGGATAATAAATTTTAAAACATAAGTCAATTGCTTTAATACATGTATCCTTTACTTTGAATTCCAAAGCTATTTTCCAATACTTGGATCAGGTTAAACCAGGCATTAGGGCTGGCAACAATGGGAACAAAGTCACACTTGATGGAGAAGCAGGACAATTGCAGGAACAAGAAGGTTACAGAAGCCCTTTGGGAAAAACGAAAACAAACCTGCTTTCCTCTAATCCCTGCTACTATGTTAGTAAAACAGGAATTCTACTCTAGGAATGGCTTAAGGGCTCTTTTAACACTTAGACTGTTCCTTGTGGAATAAACATGTTCCTGAAAAATTAGTTTCAGTGAATTCTCAAAATAAATTATAGCAAAAACAGAAGGTTTTCTTATTTAGTTCAAATGATTTTTCTTTTTCTTTGGTTCCTGGATTAATAAATGGAACACACCACAACATTTCATAGAGTAACTCATGTAACTTGATCACATGTCTGTATAGAATTGAAATCAATAATGACATTTGGTTACATAAATATTTACTTAGTGCCTATATATTAGATATCATTATCAAGAGTAGGGAAATAGACAGAAATTATGACAGAATAGTCTTGTCAAGAAACTTAGAGAAAATGACACTGGTTGAACTTTCAACAAATCCACAGATTTAAAAAGAAAAAAAAATGAAGAAAAAAATCAGTTAGCAGAATGATTCTGATACACAGAGTGACTCTATGGTATTATTATTTATCTACAATAATAGCACTTTTAAAATAAAATAGAGAAAGTAGCATCCTCCATCCTCCTAACAATTATATTACATCTAGCATCAATGTTTTGTTTGGTTTTTTTTGCTTATTTTAAGAAATGGGCTCCCAATATCAAAGGTATTTCAAGTCCTAGAGAAAAAAAAAACATTTTTCTCACTGGGGAAGTCACAATGAGAGATAATACTGGAAAGGCAAATACTCCACCACATAGCATTCTGTTTATCACATACATTTTAGAAAATCTCATTATTTGTTCATATGGACTTGATTGAAAATGTTCAATCCGAAGTTGTCATAAGGATTTTGAAAATTAAAAGGTATTCTCTGTGGGAGAAGAGTTGTCCCTCAGTTGGAAAATCTCTAAAGTCCAAAACTTAGATACCAGTGGTGTCTGCATGTTACAGTTTTGAGACTTTCTCTCTCTTTAATATTGCTCTGGGAAGTTCATTCCAACAAAATGTAATCTTTTAAAAATGTTAAAAACCTTTTAGAGGTGAGAAACATGAATGCTTTTTGTAGATTTGCCTCTGGACTGTTCCTAGGTCCATTTGCCAGGTGATATCAATAACCTCACTTAAGATGGTTAACAAAAGAAGCTATAGTGCATCATTGTAATAGTAAGGTACTCGTCAATTAGTGTCATGTTAACTGACTTTATTGAAGGTAAAAATTATCATTTCTATCAATTTCTCTCTCTTTGACACTAGAAACTCAGCTCCAGAAAATTATTATGGCTTATTGATCACATTTAGAAATTCTATTTCTGAAAAATGACTAAAGATTTTTCTGAATTTACTAATCATAATGGAGAAAAATTCATCTTGATTTCTGTAGTTCTATGCTGAGGGCACTGAGCTACTTGACTTATAGATAATTAAATATTATATATACTTTTTCTCCTGGTTTTTGGCCCCCTAAACAGAGTCATACTGGTATCTTCAGAGTGACCATGGCCAACTTGACTTCAATGAATGGATTCCTCCTCATGGGGTTTTCTGATGAGCGTAAACTTCAGATTTTACATGCACTGTTGTTTTTGGCAACATACCTACTGGCCTTGACAGGCAACCTCCTCATTATAACCATCACTACCTTGGATCATCGTCTCCATTCTCCCATGTATTATTTCTTGAAGCATCTCTCTCTTCTGGACCTCTGCTTCATCTCTGTCACAGTTCCTCAGTCCATTGTAAATTCACTTGTGGGCAATGGTTACATTTCCCTTGTTCAGTGCATTCTTCAGGTTTTTTTTTTCATAGCTCTGGCATCATCAGAAGTGGCCATTCTCACAGTAATGTCTTATGACCGGTATGCAGCTATCTGTCAACCACTGCAATATGATTCCATTATGGATCCCGGTGCTTGTAGGCGTGCCGTGATAGCTGTATGGATTGCTGGGGGCCTCTCTGGACTCATGCACACAGCTGTTAACTTCTCCATACCTCTCTGTGGGGAGAGAGTAATTCACCAATTCTTCTGTGACGTTCCTCAGATGCTAAAACTAGTCTGTTCTTATGAATTTATTAATGAGATTGCAGTGGCTGCATTCACGACGTCAACAGCATTTATCTGCTTGATCTCCATTATTCTCTCCTACATTCACATCTTCTCTACTGTGCTGAGAATCCCATCATCTGAAGGCCGAACCAAGGTCTTTTCCACCTGCCTACCACACCTGTTTGTAGTCACCTTCTTTCTCTCAGCTGCTGGCTTTGAGTTTCTGAGACCCCCATCAGATTCCCCATCAGCTGTGGACTTCATGTTCTCTATATTCTATACTGTGACACCTCCAACAATCAATCCAGTCATCTATAGTTTAAGGAATGATGCCATGAAGGCAGCACTGAGGAAGATGCTGTCAAAAAAAGGGTTTGTTCAGAGAAAGATGTATTTAAAATCCATGTTTAAACACTAAATAACCATAAAATGAAAGGCACTGTTATGCTTTAGATTGGAAGAGGGGTGAATCTAATTTCTTCCTAGAAGTATCTTCCAACTTATCTATTTTTTTGTTTTTTATTTTTTTTTATTTTTAATGTAAAGATGTGGGATACAATTCAGGGTTAGGTATACAAACATTGATCATGCAAGTACCCCTGTTGATGAGGTATGCCCCTCCCTGCCCTAGCAGTTTCCCTCAAATGCCAATCTCCCCCCATTTCCCATTACTGCCAATCACTTTCTTATAGCATTATAATTATTCAAGGTCCTCTTATGAGTGAGAACATATGGAACTCTGTTCTTTGTTTCTGTGATAAATCACTGAGTATGATCGACTCCAAATCTATCCAGGTTGCTGCAAAGCTCATATATTTGTAGTTCTTTATGGCTGCATAATATTTCATTGTGTATATGTACCACATTTTTTTTATCCAGTCCAACTTCGATGGGCAACATGGTTGGTTCCATGTTTTTGCTATTGTCTTTTTTTTGAGTTGGAGTCTCACTCTGCTGCTCAGGCTGGAGTGCAGTGGCATGCTCATGGCCACCACAGCCTCAACCTGCTGGGCTGAGATGATACTTCCACCTCAGCCTTCCAAGTAGCTGGAATTACAGACACATGCTAACTTGTCTATTCTATATATTTTTTTCAAAATAATTCTTCAAGTTTTAAGATGATGTTATGCTTCTGAAAATATTGCCTATTTTTCCTTCTCTTAAATTTAAGTGTTATTTTTAAGGCATCTTTGGTAAATCTTTCTAGAATAAAAGAGAAAGAAAATTATATAGGGTCTGGCCTATATAATTTAAAGTTGGTTTTTAACAAATAGCTTTTAGACTGCAGTCAATTGAAGCTAACTTTGTTAATATGACATGTCCAGGATGCATTATGAGATTTCCAGTGGACCTCCTAGTTTCCTATCCATATTAAATATTCTTATTAAGTTTCTTTCCTATTAAGTATTATAATAGTTATTTAAATAATTTATTTAGCCCTTAGTGTCAAGTGGCTTTATACACATTTTTCTTTTAATTCAAGAAAACAATTCTTCTAGCTATGCCACATTATTATCATTTTACCAGTGGAGACAGTAAATTTAGGACAGATTAATTTTCTTGATATTTCTCAAATAAATAGTGGTTAAGCTGTGATTCAAATTATTATTTATCTAACTCAAAAGTCATTTATTTACCTTTACTCATTGCCAATGCTGTTACTCAACTGTGTGCATGTGCTTATTTGTGTGTGTGTGTGTGTGTGATGTATATCATCTATACATATAAGCATATGCTACTATAATCTACAGATGAACTAGCCATCAGACATGTGCTTCTCCATTACTGGAGATGTTTATATTAATTTTTTTCTTTTGATCTGTACACAAGTTTGACAAAATGGTTTGCAACAGAGTTAGGCAGAGGATGCTGCCTGGTTCCATAAAACAGAGCACACATGAGTGCTATGAATGTGTAAGATAATGAGTCACAAATCTTGTAAATCTGAATATCTGACTCTTTTTTGGGTAAGGCTGCAAAATTCTTCAAGAAGAACTCATAATTGAAAAGAGTACGAAACTGAACTGGTTTTCTCAATTTTGATGTAAATCAAAATACATGTTCTAATAACAACAGAAATAAGCAATTGCTCAGTAATGAGAGGTGTTTTTACATGACTTTTTTTTGGATTAGTAGTTACAATATCTACACATGCATAGTTTCATGTTCATTTGCTTTTGAAGGTCATGCATTTCTTCTCTTCCAGTATAAAATTGGAATTGACAATAAAAAGCTATCATTGCCATATTTTGCAGGCCTGGAGCTTGGTAATAAACCATTCCTCTTTATCTATATTTGCATATCTAAAAGAATGTATTATTTAAACAGATTATATACTTTGGCAGAAAATTCTAAATGGAGCAAAATAAGGTAAAATTTAAAAGCAAACTGAAAATTCATTGCAACTGATAATATACTATATAATTACATTTCTGTTTTTCTATTTATGTGTATGTATGTGTAGTTATTCTATTGCATACTGTGTTGCAATCTCACTGTGCATAATTTATAAGTTCTTTTGTTATAAAAGATGTCATAAGGATGTTTCTGTATAAATAAGTAAAATTATTTTAGTAGCTGTATTCTATATTTAACCCATCTCCTATTTAAAATCTTCCCCCTTTTATTGTCATTATTCTGAATATACTTTCATGAACATTTCATCCACATACATATACCTGTAGAGGTATATGATTAGTTCCTTAGGGTACATTCCCAGTTGTAGAATTGCCTCTCCTTCCTTCTCCCATCTCCTATATGTGTTCAATATATCATTGCATCTCCCATTGCATATATCAATGATGCCCATTGATCTTCTGATTTATCTTCTCTAAAACAAGGGAACTTTCATGCAGTGCATTAATACTAAAATTTAATTACATGGAGTGTTTTTCTCTCACAGAGAATAAAATCCTTAAGAGAATGAGAAGACATAGTACTAAACAAAGATAATTAACATTTTATAATTTATTTATCTGAGACGATTTTGAGTTAGATTTAAGAGAGAAAATATTCCTGGTGCCTCACAGACACCTTCAGACTGATATAATGCAGTATTAATAAATAATATTTTTATTTAATCTAGGTAAGCCATCAAGGGATTATAAATTGGCAAGGAAAGAAAATGTTTGCAAATAATTGACAGATTAATTTTCTGAGTCAGTGTCTGTCATTAATCGAGTTATCACTGGCTGTTTCTCTAATTTGATCTTTATTCACATGTTCATTTATTTGTTCATTCTTAATATTTTCTTGTCAGTGAATAGCTCTTCTGTCCATCCAGTTGTTTGTCAGATACTTAAATATTTCCTTTTACTCAACTCCCGTACCTAATCAATTATTAAGTATTATTTATTATATATTTCATCTCTAATGCCACATCCAGACAATGATTATCTTAGCATAAAACTGTCTTCGTACTGATTCTCACAAACCTGCTATTTGGAACACAATTCAACGTTTGAATGCAATACTTCTTGGTTTTTATTTTCTCCTTTTGCATTTTTTTTTTTTTTTTTGAGTTGGAGTCTCACTCTG